ATTGTGTGATTTCAGTTACGTATTGCTCATTAAAGGCCTTCCAGGATCCCTCACCTCCTTTTCTCACCTAAGCTCTATCATGTATGCCTTTGTTATCTATAGCAGAGACACCCCAGCTCACCGTTCACACACACAGCTCTCTCAATCCTTGGTTGACCCAGGACTTTTGGCCTGATATCCTTCTCTCTTCCCTCCTCCCCATCTTCTCTGCCCAGTCCTGAAAAACTCTATTCTATGAAGCCTCATCTAAAATCCCATTAAGAATTAATGATTCACCCTGGCTGGTGTGGCTCAGTGGGTAGGACATTGTCCTGGGAGGCAAAAGGTTGTTGGGTCGATTCTTGGTCAAGGTACATACCCGGGTTGTGGGCCAGGTCCCCGGTTGGGGGCGTGCAAGAGGTGACTGATGGATATTTCTCTTGCACATTGATGTTTCTCTCCCTCTCTTTCTCCCTCCCCTTCCCCTCTCTTTAAAAAATAAGAAAAATCTTAAAACAAAAAAAGAATTAATGACTCATACACAGAGTTTTGTATAATTAGTATTTATTTCATTATAGTTGGTATTATTAGTTGTTTGTATGCTCCATCACTAGTCTATAACATCCTTGAGGTCAGGCAATGCCTTGACTAAATTTATTTTCACTATACCTTTAAATACACTGCATACCACATGGTGATAAGTATTTATATAAAAAATAAATAATTTTGCATAGAATAAAATTAAATAGTGCCTAACACATGGTTAGCATTTAACAAACATGAATTCTCTCTAGTGGTAATAATAAGCATTTTGTGAAAAATGGGTAAACCAGTTATGCAGGTTTATTATTAGCCAGTTAAATTCTTTTAGAATTAATGCTGCTTAGAAACCATTATAAAGAGTTTCACTCTGAAGCTGGTGTGGTTCAGTTGGTTGGAACATCGTGCCATACACTGAAGGGTTGCAGGTTTGACCCCTGGTTGGCGAGCCTAAGCAGAGGCAACCAATCAACTATTTCTTTCTCACATCGACATTTCTCCCCTCTTTTCCCATTCTCTCTTTCTAAAAAAGCAATGAAAAAATGTCCTTAGGTGAGGATTTAAAAAGAAAAAGAGTTTCAATGTCCTGTTTTGGTGAAAGCATAAGTTTAGGTTCCAGAACTTCAGAGGCCTTAAGATATTTTTCAAGATGCGAGTTTTATGTGCCACTGAATTTGATTGCTCAAAATTTAGTAACAGTGTACCTGAAATTTAGTACAGTTCTTAGTACAGAGTAAGCACTTAATAGAAGTTGATTGAAGAAATGAACAAATAAAAATTAGTTGAAATGAAGTCTTTATACTATGTTCTCTTCAAACAAACTACGAGCACTTCAAGAATAACGAATATGTTTTATTCATCTTTTTGTCTCCAGCACCTAGCACAGTATCCAACACAAAATGAGTGGTTACAAAATAGCTACTTATTACGTTAGAGACAAAAGATAAATACTTGGTTTACTTTAAAAATGCAAAGAAGGAAAAAAGGAAACGTAATTCCCTGTATCATGGCAACTTGTACCCAAAACTGATGAATAGATTCATGCGTTGGAGTGTAAAGCATAGATATTTCTACCTTGGGATATAGAAAAAGTGAACTTGTAGGTCGACAAGTCGGATCACCTTAGTCCCCTAGAGTGGTCAAAGCTAACTGGGCCCTGTGATCGAAAATCCAGCCCACCCGAAGGTCTCTAGCGTCTAACTGTTTGTGCAGGATCAGCCCCAGCACAGCACAGCCAGGGCAGCTGTGGTCACATCTCTTAGTCTACAAATGCACACCTGTTAGGGAAATTCCTACTGTGGCCACAAGGAAAAATAAAGACCTTGGGTGGAGACAAGGAACGTAGCCTAGGGGTGTCCCCCCTTGAGGCACAAACAAATGGGGCAACCGAACAGACAATCTGTCTGCAGCACTACATCTGCTTCAAGAAAGGCACTGGGACCAACTCCCTTCCAAGATACGTCACTTCATTGCACAATCATGGAAGGAACGGGAAGAGCAGGGAGATTGGGGTTGGCTGGCTGAAGTCACATCTTGGGGAAGCTGGCCAGGTTGGCAATGCCACAAGCAGCCGTTCTTATTCCGAGCCATTAGGATATAGCCTTTGTTTCCCCAGTTTTCTCCCCCAGCTGTAGGATCAATCAAGAAAAAAAAATACTTAGTACTGTCAATTATTTATCCACTAAAACACTAACTATTGTGCTAGAAACTAATGGTATACAAAAATGAATAAGACAGTTTTTAACCTTCTAAGAGTTTAAAGCCCAGAAATGGAGAGAGGTCATAACACTACAGCTCTCAAAGGTTGATCGAGGATGAAAGCAGTCTTCCTGCAAGAGGTAGCATTTGAGCGGAGCCCAAAGGCTGGATAGAAGGAATGGGACATGTGGAAATGGGATGACAGTGGAGCAGTGTGAAATGAGTGACAAAGGCAGGAAAGCACGGTACATATCTGAAGATCTTGTGGCTGAAAAATAGGGTGCCTGACAGGGTGGAATGCGAGGCAAGTGTGGAAAGGCGGATGGAGAGCAGGTTGTTATTTTCACTGCCAGACTACAGACTTGGACTCTGTGCTGCACGACAGTGGAGGAGAGACCCTGTAGGTCTCTTGACTTAGAGAATGATATCATCTGATTTGTGTTTTAGGCAGAGTTATCTTGAAAACATGAACCTAGAGCATAAGAAAGAGGCATGAGAGGCTGAATTTGGTGATTTGGGTTCGGGAATAAAACACCTTGAGAGAGATGAAGGACGCCATGATAATGAATGAGATCGCTAAGGGAACAAATGGAAAGAACAGAAGGTGAGAGCGAGAGCGAGCGAAGCGAGCGAGAGAGAGGCTACATGTCTTCCTAAATGGTTTTCATGAGTTTTCTGTCCTTTTTCCCCAACCAGCAAATTCTCTAATTATGCAATACATTTTACTTAAGACCTGTACCCCTGTACCCTGTCCCTGTTCCCTTCTCCGAGGCTCCAAAATGATCCTGACCCTGCCTGGGTGTGTCCCTCATTCCTCCCAGCTCTCTCGAATGCACCTGATCAAGAAAGGACACAGTAGGTAAGTATTTGGGCTAGAAGTTGAGAAAGGGAAAACACAGGGCAGAAGCTCTGGGAAAAGGAACACCCTCTTAGGATGGCGTTCAGTTGGACTGTGACATAAAGAGTTGCTTTAGGTTTGAAGCAACTCCCAACCTCCTGTTCTATCCTGCCAGCCCTCCAGGCAGCAGGCAACATGGCTACACCGCTGCCTGGCCTGTAATTGCCGCACAGTCTAAGACTCTTGCTCCTTAGGGTGCACCAACGACAGAAAATTTAACTGGTGCTGTTGCCAGGCTAGTGCTGATCAATGAAGAAAGGGAAAGTATAATTCTTAGAAACTTGCCCCGCCCCAAGTCACTAGGGGAGCCAAGCTACCCTGCGGTTTTATTTGTTCCAAATAATACGGAAGGAAACATTGGATTTTGTTCTTGTTGTGCATATCTACTTTCTGGAAAGCATTTCACTTCAGATTTCAAAATCTTTGGCCAGATCTTATGTATGTCTATCCAAAGTGTATCTAGAAGGGCAAAAAGCCACACAAACCTTTACACTGTTCCCTACTGCTTACAGACAGACTGATGACGGAAGCCTACTTAAGAAATTGTTCACATTAGAGAAAAAAGGAAAGCAAAATATATATAATTTCAAAGGTCTTGCTGGGTTTTGGTGCTACTTTATGTTCTCATTAGCTGGGTCTGTCTTCCCTAGGGGGCGGGAAGTCACTGAAGGCAGACACCCTGTTCTTTTGGGACTAAGTACCTTGCACGTGGAGCAGCTGCCTAGCACATACTTTGAGTGCTAGTGGCTGGCCATTAACTGTAGAGTTAATAGCTTCTGATTAGGAAGGTAGAACTGAAAAGTCCGAGACAACTTTAACTTGATTTGAGAGAAGGAAAGGAATGCCAGGAAGCTGGCGCTGGGGCCGAGTGTTCAGAGGGTGCCTGACTGACAAGTGTGGCGTCCCCATCATTACCTGTTTTTAATTATCCAGTGCTTTTTTCCTTTCTGGATCCCGTATCCCACTGCCAGAACCGCATGGTTCAGATTCTCGCTATTGCACTTTTCATCGTAATACACACCTAGGAAACAATCCATCAAGGTGAAACTTTCTGTAATCCCTGGGGCTCCAGGGGCTCCCGCTCCAGGCGACCCTCTGTAGAATCCTGCCCCGTCAGCAGGGCTTACACCAGAGGCGCTCTGTGCCACGGCAGCTGTTAGTTTCTCTCTGGCAGGCTCAGCCCTGCATATGGAAACTACTGAAAATGCCCAGGGCCCTTTGTGAAGCTGCCAAGCCCACACAATGAGAGACAGTCGATGTGCTCTACCGGAACAGCTCCGTACCTTTGCTGTAAAACTGAAAGGAGGTCAGGCTTGCATCAATGGCCACCGAGATGGGTCCCACTCGGGCCACTGCCCTCTTCAGGGCTTTCTCATTCCCCTCAGGGATCTCTTTGTAGCCTCTGCACTTGGCTGCCTTGCCTGTTGGGTTGTACATACAATTTTCATCCTGGAAAAAAAAACAACAAGGTTGAAATAGAACTAGGACAAAGCAACAGGCAATGAACTGGTGAGTGAGAAACTCTACCAATATTTCCCGTGATGTCAGGGAACTAACAGGGGCAGTGAGCAGGCTCTGGAAAGGGTCTGCTCTCCTCACCATTTTGGACCACTGTCGAAAAGAATGGGAAAGGTGACTATGTTGCACCACACACAAGTCAGTTTCAGGTGATTTTAAAACATGTGAAAGCAAACACTGTAAAACTTAAAAAAAGAGAAAGAATATTTTTATAACTTCAGTGTAGAGAAAGATTTCTGAAATGAGATTTTTTTTTTAAAAGCACAGATCATCTTCTGGGCCCGTGGTATGTGTGAGTCCAGGAGGGCTGCCGTTACTGTTAATATTTAGATCATGTATTCTTGTAGATATAACTTCACACTTTTGAAGAGGCCACCTGTAGGATAATGAATTGCCAAAAAGAATATACCACTTTGACTTGGGTGGCCATTATATTCTCTAACTGTGGCATTTGACATGATATTCTAAGACTACATGACATCCTGTCTTAATAATTTCTCAAGATTCCTTTGTTCTCTGTCATATCTAAATATTTGATATTACCTATCTAGTAAAGTTGAAGATGCACCTAACCTAAGACTTAGACAATTCTGTCCCAAGCTACCATATTCTAGTAAAGAAATTCTGGCATGTGTGCATAGAAGACATACCTGGCAATGTTTGCAGCAGATAAACAGGTCTGGTGGATAAACGTTGGCTCTGCTACATAACTAGCGGCATGAATCTGAGTATGCTGTTCTACTGCAAGTGTCAATTTCCTCACTGACCAAGTGAGGATATACCTACCTCTCAGGGCTGTGAGGAGGGTTAAATCAGAAAGTGCACTAAACACATGGCTTAGCACACAGGAGCCATCACTTTCATTACTAAAACTTGCTAGCCTTTCTTCAAAGCACCTTGCTGCAAAGGCCCCATATTATATTATCTATCAACCCCATGTATGTAAATAGCCTTCAGATCATCTTCATTTTAGATAAAACAGAGCTCCTTCCTATTGCCGAAGGAGCTTATAGGAGGAAGTGAGTTGATCTCTAAAATTACAACAAATGTGAAGCAACTTGGTTTTTCCCTCATTTTATACAGGTTAGCATGTTAACATATAATCTGCTTAAACGTTCTCAAAACGCACAGTGAGATCATACAAAATCAAGACACACAATTCATGAAATTAGATTTGTGATGGGAGTGGATGAGGGGCACTGAGGGTTATAGATACCTCTTCAGAGATCTATGCAATACCTGACTTCTGTTTTTCTTTCCAGGGTGGCAAGGCAGATAGGATCTATGGTAGCCTAAGCTCCCAAAATTATCCCAGATTCTGGGAATCTTCTTGGCCTTCTGTGAGCAATTATCCCATCAAGAAAGCAGGATAAGGTAACAGAAAACAAGATTCCTGGAATTGTTTCCAATACAGAATATCAGGCTGGGGCAGGAGGGGCCATTACAGAGCTGTGTGGCTGTGTGGGCCAGTCTCACCTGTCCCACGTACGGGTAGGCGTCTTCGGAGTCAATGCCCCGGTTCTTCTGCACATAGTGGAAGGCATTGGTCATGTAGCCCCCTCCGCAGCCATCATTCTCAGACACACAGTCCACCAGGTTCTGGGGACTCAGATTTAAGAGTTTACCAGTTTTCTTCTTCAGTTGGCCCTCCAGGGCACCCACAGAGCTAAAAAGCCCAACAGGAGCCACACTGACCCTGAGAGGCACAACAGAGAATCCATGAGTCATTGCCATCCATGCCTTTCATCTTCCCCCTCTCCCTGCCAGATGACATTCCATAGATTTTATAAATCCCAGCACACGTGTCCCCACTGCTGTGAAGTCTTCCTGTCCCCCATTTAACATTTATTGTGCTCTTCTATTGCTGTTGTTGCTATTGATAACTTTCATTACTATTGTTCCATTAGCTGTAGTATAGCAGAGCAGAGTTTGCTTTGTAACCCCTTAGATATGTGACCTTGGATAAGTTACTAAAACTCTCTGTGCCTCAGTTTCCTTATCTGTAAAATGTAAATAATAAAAAGTGCAAGCTGTATTAGTGTTTAAGACAGATTGTAGATTTTTCTTTCCTTTTCTATTTTTTGAAATTAAGGCTTTCTTGGGGACAAAGGTTATGTCTTAGTCATCTTGAATCTCTACTGCCTAGCACATGCCTGAAAAGTTTGTTGAATGAATGTTAAATCAATTGCTCATCTGGTTGACACAATCAACATTGTAAAGGTGGGAAAACTGGCATTCTCATGCTGATAAAAATGTAAGATAGTAAAACTTTTTGGGATAGGACCTAGCAATTTTAATTTTAGGATTTATTTTGCATAAATATTTGTACATGGGTACAAAAATATATGCACAAGGGTGCTTACAGCAACACTGTTGGTGAAAAAAGAGAACTCAGAAACAATCTAAATATACAAAAACAGGAGATGAGTTAAACGGTCAGACAGGGTGCTAGCAAGGGGAGAAGCAACCTTAGCTCCTTGCTCCATCTTCCTAGTGCCCTCCTGCCTTAAGAACAAAGAAAAAGCAAAAGGAAGAGGTCATGCCATCTCACATACCCATTCCCAGGAGGCAGGAGGGTACCTGATTTTTGACAGGAGTAACATATCCCTTCTTTCGATAATCAATGGAGTCTGGGACTTTGCCTTCCCAGTCTGGGACATAGAGCGTGTCATTACTGTGGGAATGAGATGGGGGTACTTTGAGTCCAGTCATCTTCTGAACCACCTCTTCACTGGTCTGGGGCAAAAAAGAAAGAGGCCAGGCTTAAGCAGGGAACTAAGGCAAACAGGGCAGGTAGGCCAGAGGCGGAGGTTAAACTCACCATGTCCCCCAAGTGGTTCATGGCCAGTTCATACGTATGCACACCAAGAGAGGCCTCAAGATTATGGATGGAAATATGCTTCAGGTTTTTTTCCCAAATTAAACGCCGAGAGATTTCATCCACCTAAACAGAGCATATTCAGTACTGGCATAGACTGTCTCCTGTGTGTAGTTACACATGTAATATTGTGGCGGTTTTTAGAAGAAAAGATAAAACTTACAATGAGAGTTTACAATCTAGTTGGGGAAATGGCCACGGGGTTATTAAGCATGCGGACAGAAAGATAGAAACAAATTCAAAGATAGAATGCACAGATCTGGAGAGAGGTACAGGAACGTTGCTTATGGATTATTAGCATTAATCTGAGAGGTCTTCCCAAAAGAAAATTTTAAGACACAGATAAAGAAAAGTAAGGATAGGACTTGATGAAGGGTGTCTTGAGGAATAGGAGTGACAACTGTAAGTTAACAATTAGGAGAGGAGCAGGCTTGCTAGGTGGGAGGCTGGAAACTAGCACTGGAGACCTCAGCTTGCAGCCCTCCCAGCAGGCTCCCTCCAGGTCCCCAGGCACCTTGCTGTTATATTGCTTCCTGTAGGTCTTCTTCCACTGCTCCCATTGGGTGTCCAGTATCTCCTCAGGGTACAGGGCAAAACTCACCATGGGCAGCAACAGTAGAACCTTGAGCCCCCACATCCTGGGGAAGGGGATATTTAGGGGAGAATCTTCTATTTGCCAACAAAGTCCCAGCCTGGCTGAGGATGAGGAAATACCTGGAGCCATATTCCCAAGCAGGTGGTTCTTAACTTTTGCCGTCATAGACTCCTTTGACAAGCTAATAAAATGTGCAACCCACTATATAATCCCTCTCGCCAGAAAAGCGCATGCACACACAGTAATTCTACAAGTTCATAAACCCGAGGCTAAGAACCCCTTCCTCTGGACTATGAGGCAAAAAAATAAAAAAGAAAAAAGAAAACAAACCGTAAAACCACCTAGGCTTTACAAAGAGGGCAAAGAACTGAGGGTAATTTCTATGTGATAAACCAAACAGTGATAGTCAGGAGGGGTCTGGGTTTGGAAGGGAGGCAGGTACATCTGGTTCCAAGTATTCTGACTTAGGGGAAATTCAACTCTTCCCCGCCCCCTCCCACAGAATCACTAACAGAAACATGGTAGAAAATGGACAGTCGTGGGCTCAGCACCTCTCTCCTCCATCCCCAGACTTGGAAGAGATGGACAAGGTAAGTAGGTAAGTGCAAGGCAGGATGATAGTGGTTGGAGAACGCACAAAAGAGATATCTCCACCTGTTTTACTTTCTGATCATTTCTTCAAGTCATTCCTTTTTTCCATGACTAAATTTGGTCTTTTTCCAGCACTTGCTCAGAGAGGACAAGGGAAAATTGACAGTATTTCCTGTTCTCTAAATATGAGAGAATATTTTGCTGTCTCCTTAGTTTTCATATGTATTTCTTCCTTTCTCTTCTTACTCCCTCCTCAGGCAGGAAACTGTCTTAATCTCAACCAGCTGCTGCGTGCAGGAGGTTTTCTTTTTTTACCGACAACAAAAACTTCTGCCTGCCTCACGGAACAAAATGCCTCAGAGCGAAAGTTTGTTAAAAGAATGTGAGACAGAAAAGCAATGTTCTATGATCATCAATACACAGCTTTTCAGAACTTTCTCTAACTTCACTCCTTGCAGTGGTTACGTGGCCTCCATTTTAAGAACAATTTACAGTCTGTAGCAAGTCATAAGAGCTTGCGTAATTTTTGAACTTATAGTGAATTTCTGAGTAACCTTTGTAAACTGGCAAATATACAGCAGGACATTTAATGTCTGATGTGTTAAGGGCTTTGAGAGGTCTCAGAGTGGGAAATACTAAACTACCAACATCCTGCACAACTGCCTCAAGCTGTAAATTAACCCTTTTGGTACCTTTGGCTAAAACAGAAAACTGCAGAGGCCACCCTTTAAGTGAGGGATGGGTATAGGATTCCCATATTCATTGCTTTCACCAGCAGCCACATATACATACAAGTCATAGAAAGAATCCTAAAAGATTTCCAGGCAGATTTTATTTGGCCAGGAAATGACCTCAGAAGGGCATCACTGTTTTCATGCACACAGCCTACAAAGTCCATTGTGAGCCCCAAGTTGCTACATCCCTAATACTCCCTAAAATGCGGAACTGGCAGGAATGAAAAGCTGAAAGATCTAGAAAGTTGAAAATGTTACCTGCTGGTGGGAATCTGCTCTCTGGGCTCTTCCTGCAGTGGAATGTGGATAAAGTCGGCAGCGGGTGACTAGGAGAGCTGGATTTATTCCATCAGAATTGAGGAAGTCAGCCCCAGCTGCTGGCTGGAAAATTTGGATAGGGGAGGGAGGCGGGGATAGAAATGCTGAGAGGGGAGATTAGGGAGGAGGAAAGGAGGCAGTGAATTTGCAGTTTCTGTATGCATGGGGACGGTGTAAGGCAGGGTAGAGATTTGTCTTTGAGGGAAGACAAAAATAGACCTCAATACCCATTATTCAAGTTGGGGCTTGGTGGCTAGAGGGACAGGCCCAGTCTCTCCCATTCTCATTACGTATTATATTAGGGGGTTGTATCTTTTCCTGTTACCCATCTTTCCAACTTTGAAACTTGTTTTTGAATTTGTCTGAAACAACAGAGATGAGGGAATAAACACAAAAGGCTAGAAAAAACTGAGTGTGTATAAGGGAAAGCGTAGGCTCCGAAATCATTATTTACTTTATAAACTTGTTGGCTAACTGTCATTTCTTCCATGCACAGGAATAGCTCTTCCAGCCTAGGTTTGCTGAGGAAGGATATGCCCAGAAAATCGAGATGAAACCGGTTCTAAAAGTAATGAAAAATTACTGAATATTCTCAGTGATTTATGACAGCCCATGAATCAATGCCACAGCACTGACAAACTCACATGTGACTCCTTTGTTGCTGACACTCTGATGGTAAGATGCCTGATGCACCTTATCTGTTTCAATTACTGAAATCCCCAACCCAGGTCCAGTCATGAGCTTCTTCTCCACATACTTCCCCCAATATCCAGGCATGTGACAGATGAGTCTAGTTCAGTTCCTAAGCCACACTTCCAAACTCCATATTCTCCCATAAACAGGTGTTGAGGAAAAGAAAAAGAGGGTCCTTGGAAAGGAAAGGACAACACATGAGATCTAGATTCAATTTCTGGCTTGATTACATACAACAGGCTCTCAAGAAAACCAGTTTATGTGTAAGCATTTTAAGATTTGCTAATGAACCTAGAGGGAAAACAGGTCCAGACCCAAGTAATTCAAATTTTCCCATCCCTAATTCCTTTTCACCCAGAAAAGGGGAATATACTGGGAGAAGGGATCCAGATGTGCTCAACTGGTCTCAAGTCCTAATTCTCCCCTCTCCTGAGGACTTGGGCAATCCCAACCCCCACCCCGTGGTCAGATGTCCCTGCTGATTTCACTCAGAATGAGTCAGTATCAGGAGGGCAACCAAGGAATGCTGAGTGATCAGAGCCTTATGATTTCCCATGTGTGAAATTACAGACATGTTGTGCTTTATGTTTGTATATCCGGATCTAAAGCTATGGGTTCAACTAGTTGTGGATGTTTGTTGTTTATGAGCTGCAAAGGAATAATAAAGCCGCAATTAAGATGACACAACACAAAGTTTACAAAAGGAAAAATATTTTGTTTTAAAATACTTGCTACATGTCATTATTTTCGCCACTGTAAGGCTCAGCAGAGATGCCAGCAGTACAGAAATGGCCAACAAGAAACAATCAAAAATAAAACCCTGAAGGAAAAGCAAAAACAAAACCCCCAGAGCATCTTCTCCCTCCCCTCCCCCAAAGCCCTAATAACTATACAATATCATAGTCCTGATCACATTTAAAAACAGGCGATTATTAAAAAACAAGGATTTCAATGGAAACTCAACTTTTTGGTTTCTTACATTGTAATATAAATATATATGTATACTGTATGTGTGCACATAGAATAAAAAAATAAACTGTTTCCTTTTCCATGCCACTACCTGGCACAAGGCTGGAGACAAAAGGGAGGGAAACCCAGTAATGACATTCTCTCAGCCTCTCCAAGGCCATCTATGCTCCTCAGTCCCCTATGGCTACATTTAAAATGTCTTCTTCTTTTTAATTAGTCTTGCACTTAAGATACTGGCCTGAGCCAATTAAAAAAAAAAAAAAAAAAAAAAAGGCTGATACATACAACTGTTACCTGAGGAAGGTAAAGAGTGATAGCAGAAACCTGTGTCCACATTTATATGGCTATAGTTAATTACTAAGTGACCCTGTCGGAATGGGAGTCCAGGCCCCATCTACTACATGGATTTATTACACTTGCACTATAAAGCAAAATCCAATCTCAAGACTGAAGAGGGAGCAAAGAGAGAACTATAGGCCCAGAACAGACCTAAATCTCATTTTCTTGCTGGACTGGATACTTTGAGAACTGGATGAAAGAGGCTATTTTGCAAGAAGGATTGGTATTTAGCTTAAGCTCTGCAAGTGAGGGCTTTCACTGGACTGCTAATCCAAGAAGTTGAGTTTCCGTGCAGAAATAACCTCCACAGAACACACATATGTACTTCTGACAGAAAAATGCAGCATCATCTTTATGGCCAAGTGTGGGGTTTCTGAAAGTGTTCATCCTGCCAGCCTATTTCTGTAATGTTTGCAGATCTTCCATATCAGGTGAGAGCACCAAAAGCAGGAATGCCCCAGCTTTATCACTAAATATGTCTGAATGAGAGACCAACCTTATCAACAGAAGACTTTACATATTTGCTTACAGTTGCATACTGGTTGGGCATAGATATAAGCGCAGCAAAGACAATTATTTAAATACTCTTTGGCTGCAATACTAAGTGGAAAATACCTGGAAGATTTAACTCCTTAGGACTCTTTGAAAAACACAGAGAAAGACAAAGATAAACTCTGGGACAAATTTTGCATAACTCCCTAATAGGGAGAGAGAAACAAACCCAGGAACACATGTGCACGCGTGCACGTGCGCGCGTGTACACACACACACACACACACACACACACACTCTCACACATTCACACACACACTCTCTTCTCTCACTTCCTCACTCATGTTTCTTTCCAGAGGAACTGCTCACGGGCAGCAGAAAGAACATATTCTCACTTCTTAAAGCCCCATATATACCTACCATGTTTCATGATCCTCAAATATGAGGACATTTCCCTTCCTCCCCACCTTATTCAGAATTTCTTTCCAAAAAGCCATAGTACAAGGCAAATAGTGGATGTCAGGTTCTCTAACCTGCCCCTTAACCCTTGTACACATCATCTCTGTACAAATTTCTGGTCAGGAGGCATAAGGAAAGGTATTTTTAACCTCACCCAGCCTCAGTTTTTCAAAGGGCCCCCAAAGCCTCGAGGATTCATTCCATTTCATCTATAAATTACGTCAGAGAGGCAGCAGGGCAAGGGAAAGGCCAGATGTGAAAGGGGGTGCACATTAGGGGTGAGGGAAGGGAAGGGAGAGGAACTTTTATTCTGTTTACAAAAAGACTTGTTTTTTGAAAACAAATGGTGACTTTTCTCCCAAACCCCTTTGTCCTCACCCCGATAGTTCTATTCTGAAAAGGAGGGAAACATAGTTAGGTCAGGAAATTCTTCATTGTTGTAGCTGTTGCTCTGGTCTCCTAGCATGGACAGCATCTCCTAATAAAGAGAAAAATAAGTTTGGGTCACACACCTTGATCCCTTACATTTGCCAAGCCCCCTTCCCAGCATTCCCCTGAACCATCGTCCCTGACTCCACAGAGTTTCTGCTCAGCTGAGGTCTCCCAGCCTTCCTTGGTCTCAGCAATGCTGACTCCTTTGGATGACAACCTTTTTCCTAGTCCATTTTCTATCTTCCCCCTACAGTTCCACATTTCCCTCTTTTCTAGTCCTCGGTATTTTCAAAAGGGGAAAAATCTACTTGCCACATTTCACATAACCCCTCTAGGTATACAATGGAGTATCTCTTATCCTCTTTGTTTTCTACCAAAACCTGTTTTGCCTTCCTGTGTAGCTCTTCTTTTGTCTTGCCTAAGATTACTCCATGCAGTCTTGCAGTCCCCTCAGGACTTCTGTAAATAGATCTTATAATTGTATACCCAAGCTTCTGTGAAGTGGGGATGTGGTTCTCCTTGAATAGGCTAAAATTACTTTCTTTGACATCTTTGCACGGTGCTGCACATCATTAACTATGGTCTAGTTAAAGGTTGTGCATCGCACTAAGTTCACAATCTTTCCAGTCAATGACATTCATCCCTACATGTCCCCACTATCTCTTCTCCCACACCCCCAATCACATTGGAATCCATGCACACTTCCTTCTCTGCCTCTCCCTCTTAACACTTTCTCTCCCATTTCTGACTTTCTGATGTCTCCACCCTCGTACCTGGAAGACCTCAGGCTGGCCAGGTTGCTGTGCTGATGGCTGCTGAACATGTTGTTCATTAGAACTTGAACGATGATGAGGCTGCTGACCCTGCCACTGTGGCCAGACTCCCACACCCTCTGCTGTCCGTGTCTGGAATTGTCCTGCAGTCTGTCCAGTCTCAGGAGCTGGAGAAGAAGAACAAACAGGAAAACCTAGCACATAACTACACGTAAGTCATTAATTTTACCTGGAAACCTTCTGCCCTTCTCTCTGCCAATTAATGTCTCTTCAATTTCAAAACCCCACCCAAACTGATTTTTCTTCTCTAGGAAGCTGTTCCAAAGAGTTCTTTGCTCGTTTTAGATTAAATTTGCATATTATTAAATTCATAATACATTACATGCTTTCTGTTATATGTGTGAAAATTTTTTTTTATGTGGGTAGGTTTTAAATACAAAAAACCTTGCATTTTCCCATAAATTAGCTCAATGCACAGCAAACCATTTTAACTACTGTGATGTTCCTTTTAACCATCTTCTGGCCTGAACTCACCAAAGTTGGATCCACGGCTGGTGAGAGTAGGATAAGCAGCAGCACCAGGTGATGCAGTGGAAGCACCAGGGAGGGACATGGGGCTAAAGGAGGATGGAGTCTGAAAGCTGCCCACACCAAACTGGGAAGAACGAGTCTTGGTTGTAGCCTGGGTGGCCACCTGCTGAAACAGAGGAGTAGAGAACAATATACAGAACATTTAAATTATTGCACATTCCATTCCTATGGGAGTCAATCTTCTCTGTGAACCACTGGAATCTCTGGAACCAAGTTCCGCACTTATTTCCTACTGTATATTTCTTTCAATTAATTCCCAATCTCCCTTGACACTATTATTAGGCAGCTGTGAAAAAGTGCAAAAAGAACTATGGGATTAATAAAAGTATACATTGACAGTTGTGAGGATTAAGTTAGAATAATTTAAATAAAAGCATTTTATAAGTTATAGTAAAGTTACATAGTAACAGAGGCATTAACAACAGTATAGTATCATATATATATAAAAAAATACTTTCCATCATTTTATTTTTCAGTCTCTATTGCATTCATTTTTTTCTAATAGTGTTTTTTTTTGTTTTTTTGTTTTTTTAGTAACTCACATTTTTCTCACCATAATAGTAATACATATACACTGTGGAATATTTGCACATTTTTTAAAAAAGTTATTTATAATTCTACCACCAAA